TCTCTCTCTCTCTCTCTCTCTCTCTCTCTCTCTCTCTCTCTCTCTCTCTCTCTCTCTCTCTCTCTCTCTCTCTCTCTCTCTCTCTCCCCTCCGGGCGCAGTTCAAATATCCAATACGGGAAAGAATATTCCCGCGTTTGGTAGACCAAATCTTGTCGAAACCAGACGGCTAAGCCAATTAATTCAAGAATATCTCCTAATTTTAAGATACCAAGTTCTATTCGGCCTGTTTTGTATACATTATATATATGTATGATACTCAAGACGGAGGAGGAGGAGGAGGGGGAGGATACCACGTTCTATTCGGCCTATTTTGTATACGTTATATATATGTCAGAAGAATATGAAGAAGAAGAAGACTGCTATTGCATCGATACAATCGACCACCATGAAAGTGTTCTTAGATGAAATAGATTATGCTCAGGCACAAGCATCTACTCCTTATAGAATCTTAGGTGTGAAGGTGTGCGTCTAATATTCATAAAATAAACCAAAACACATACGCTATACCCAAAACGTACAAAATTTCATAAATATCAGCAAGGAAGAAGCAAAGGCTCCCGCGAGGCGGCACAACGTTGAATATGGTCTTAAGAAGAAGAAGAAGAAGAAGACTTCTGCTGAAGAAGAAGAAGAAAAGAAGAACAAGACTTCTGCTGAAGAAGAACAAGAATAAGAATTCTGGTGAATAAGAAGAAGAAGAAGACGAAGACAAAAAAGACTTGTGCTAAAGAAGAAGAAGAAAATGTGATGACCCGTCCTAACATGGACTGAAACACAGGACTGGTTTCTGAGTTTTGCCCATAGACTGAATGCTTTGCTGAGTTTCCCGCCTGCTACTAATTCTGTGTGTGCACGCTTGCTGGACTGCATGTCTGTCTGAGTGCTGGTTGGCTTGAGTGTGTGTGTGGCCGTGCCTGTTTGAGTGCTGGTTGGCTTGAGTGTGTGTGTGGCCCGCAAGGGCACTTGCTCGTTCATTGGGCCCTCGGGGCCGGTACTTACCTGTGGCCGTGACATTTGAGGGATTACAGCAGGAAAACCACTCAAGTAGCGGGTAGGCCGGTACCGCACCCTGAAGGGGTAGACGTGCGGGTACTGAAGGCCGAGCAGAACAAGACAAAAGTGGCATTTTTAGAGGCCCAGTAGTTGTAGGTTAGGTCTAGGCGGATACCAGTCCAACCAGTCTGGGTCTAGGCCCTGTACGGGCAATATAAAAGTCTGCAACGATGTTTCCCTCCGAAAGGGAGGACATACCAGTTGTTTGGAAGGCCGAGCAGCCTGGAAGTCACCACCCGAAGAGGCAAGCAGGCCGGTATATCTGCCAGCCGGGCAAAGAGCCCGGCCTCTTTCTCGGTGTGCAAGTTTGGCGACACACTGGTTGGAGCACCGGTTGGAGCAGCACTATCCAAGAGCAGCGCTGCTGGGGGAAGAAGGACACGGAGGAGGAGAAAGGAGAGGAAGGGGGAGGAGCGCCAGGGGTACTTATTTGGCTATGGTGGCAGCCATCTTCATCACCTTGGTGGGCGCTGCAGCAGGGACTCCCCAACTGGAGAGAGCTACACCAAGAAGCTTCAAGGCAGGGTCGGGCATGGCGGCCTGAGCTAGAGCAGCCAAAGCTGCTTTGGGTTGTCCTTTGGACTACTAGGCCTTATCACACACAGATCGAAGTCTGAAGAAGAAGATGAAGACGACTTCGGCTGAAGGAGGCGGAAGAAGAAAGGAAGGAGGCTGGGAAGGAGGCGGAAGAAGAAGAAGAAGAAGAAGAAGAAGAAGAAGAAGAAAAAGAAGGAGGCGGAAGAAGGCGGAAGAAGAAGTAGCTGAAGAAGGAGGCTGAAGAAGGAGACGGAAGAAGANGAAAAAGAAGGAGGCGGAAGAAGGCGGAAGAAGAAGTAGCTGAAGAAGGAGGCTGAAGAAGGAGACGGAAGAAGAAGAAGAAGAAGAAGAAGAAGAAGAAGAAGAAGAAGAAGAACAAGAAGGAGGCGGAAGAAGAAGAAGAAGAAGCTGAAGCTTAAGAAGGCGGCTGAAGGAGAAGGCTGGGAAGGAGTCAGAAGAAGAAGAAGAAGGAAGCGGAAGGAGGCGGAGAAGAAGAAGCTGTAGCTTAAGAAGGCGGCTGAGGGGGAGGCTGGGAAGGAGACGGAAGAAGAAGAAGAAGAAGAAGAAGAAGAAGCTGAAGCTTAAGAAGGCGGCTGAAGGAGGAGGCTGGGAAGGAGTCGGAAGAAGAAGGAGGAGGCGGAAGGAGGCGGAAGAAGGCGGAGAAGAAGAAAAGTTGAAGCTTAAGAAGGCGGCTGAAGGGGGAGGCTGGGAAGGAGGCGGAAGAAGAAGAAGAAGAAGAAGAAGAAGAAGAAGAAGGCGGAGAAGAAGA